AAAAATGAGCAGAGGACATGATTCTCCAAAGAGGACATACACATATGAAAAGATGCTCAATATCACTAATCATCAGAGAAATGCAAATAAAAAACACAATGAGATACCACCTCATTCCTGTCAAAATGACTATTATCAGTAAATCAACAAACAACAAATGGCGAGGATGTAGAGAAAAGGGAACCCTCATGCACTGTTGGTGGGATTGCAAATTGGTGCAGCCACTGTGGAAAACAGTATGGAGGTTCCTCAAGAAATTAAAATAGAACCTTATGATCCAGCAATTCCACTCCTGGGTATTTATCCAAAGAAGTCCAAAACACTAATTCGAAAAAATATATGCACCCCTATGTTTATTGCAGTGCCATTCACAATAGCCATGATATAGAAACAACCGAAATGCCCATCAATAGATGATCGGAAAAAGAAATTGTGGTACATTTACTCAATGGAGTATTACTCTGTCACAAAAAAAGAACGAAATCTTAACCATTTGCAACATGGATGGACTTAGAGGATATTATGCTAAGTGAAATAAGTCAGACTGAGAAAGACAAATACCATATGATCTCACTTATACTTGGACTCTAAAGAACAGAATAAATGAGCAAACAAAACAGAAATAGATTCACAGATACAGAGAAAAAAACTGATGGTTGCTAGATGGGAAGGAGGTTGAGGGACGGGGAAGAAGGTGAAGGGATCAGAAAGCACAAACTGGTAGTCACAAAACAATCGTGGGGATGTGAAATACAGTATAGGGAATATAATCAATGTTGTACAGACTGTGAAAGGTGTCAGTGGGTACTGGACTTATGGGGGGGTCACTTCATAGATTATACAAATGCCTAACCACTGAAATAAATAAATAAATAAATAAATAAATAAAATGGACAAGAGATATTACATTATAACATTCTATCAATGTTACATTTCCTGATTTTGAAAACTATACAGTAGTCATGTAAGACAATGTTCTTAGGAGGTGCACGCTGAAGTATTTAGGGGTAAAAGGACATCGTGTCTATAACTGACTCCTAAATGGCTCAGAAAAATTACCACACAAAGAGAAAGAATGATAAATCAAGTGTAGCAAAAAGCTGACCATTTGGGGATCTAAGTGAAGGAGATATTGAAGTTTATGGTACTATTCTTACAACTTTTCTGTAAATTTTAAATTATTTTAGAAATTATTATTTTAAAAGGTTTTTGTTTTTCAAAGCGCCTATGTTTTATCCTAGTTTTTAAAACATGGTTTTAATCTGTTATTACCACTTGCTCCCATTAAAAGGAAAAATCATTTCATGGTTAGGCCCACGATCCGGGCCCCATTCAGGCCACAGTCCCAAGAGTCTCCCAGAAAAGTGTTCTCAGTATAAGTGTAGCAGGCAGAAAGAATCTTGACATTTATGTGGGTCTCTAAAATACCCGGAAAGAAATTCTACCCAATATTAACAGTGGTTAGCCACAGTCTCTCCCCCATCCCCAATTTTGTTCCCTTCCCCAGGCAGCCCAGGTGCCTCAGAGAAGTGACCCCAACCCCAGATCCTTGGGAGGACCTGATAGGCTGAAGAGTGACCTTATTCCCCCTATTAGTGATTGATCCAAGACTGGGCATGTGATACA